CCCTGACCTCCTGGGGGACACAAACATGCCCTACAGCCCTGACCTCCTGGGGGACACAAACATGCCCTATAGCCCTGACCTCCAGACACAAACATGCCCTACAGCCCTGACCTCTTGGTGGACACACACATGCCCTACAACCCTGACCTCCTGGGGGGCACACACCCTACTGAGTTGCCTATACAAATATAAAATGTGACCTAAGTTATAGAATTAGTTGTGATCATCAGAAAGTGTAAAATGATTATAAACATTTAATTATATTGAAAAATGCTTAGCCCCTCTGGTGGGGGAGGGTGGATCAAGTGGATAAGTGTGGAGGGACACATTATAATGCCTCTAATAGTGGCATTGTATGATGACATTGAACTTTGGTCAATGGAATACTAAAGAATCAAAGAATGGAATGCCAAACAAGCAATACTCAGCCAATGAGAAATAGAGTATATGATGTAATGCATGAACACGTAGTGTGTGGCCACTATACTCAGTATACTGGCTCATGTCCTCGTGCAGCCGACCCATCAATCCTAGAGGGTCAATTATTGTTATTTATTGTCAAACATTTCTCTTGTCATTGTCCCCCCCCTCCAAAAAAAATTTCTCAACGGATCGATACAATTCACGTGGGTTGCCTAAAACAATGGGGGACGGAAAACCGGAAAAAAAGGAAAAATCAAACCCCGGTTATGCGGGGTATTAAAATTTACGATTCTAGCTATTTTGGAGGAATTATTATTATTTAATTTTTATGCCGGCTAGTTGAATCTACCAGTTGGCCAGATACTGGATAATTGGGATTCTACTGTGTACTAATAAATAAAATATAATAATACTACCACAATGCCAGCAGGCAATAGTTTCTCTACACGAGGGACACTGGAGACTGGAGAGGCCGAGATACCCAATACTGGTCACTCCTCCTACTCCTATGATGCACGTGTTAACTCCCGTTATGTTTTTGACGTTATGATGATAATTAATTTTATTTATTTTTGCATATTCTGTATGAACGATTGTGTGTGCAAGTAATAGAGTAAAATAATTTAAGAAAACTGCGTATATCATCCCAAAATCACGAGTTAAAAAATAACAATAACCCAGCTTACACTTTTGGCCTGGTAAGGGGAGGGTAAGCTCCCCGATGCCGCACCACCCTTCCCCTCCCACGATCTGCACACTAACTCCCTCAATCATAAGAAATGTTTATTCTCTTTATGTGTTTTTACCTTATGTTAATCACTTCTTTACATTACTTTTACCAACTTTTTATAACAGAAATTACATATATCTTCACCAAATTACAAGTTGAAATATAACAATAACATAGCTTGGCCTGGTAGGGGTAGAGTTCACTTCACACAAAACCATGCTCTTAATTATTCTTATTCTATAACAACATGCCATCTCCATGGATATTATTTTAAATGTAAGAAAGGTTATGGTATATGTAACACCATATGAAAACACAAACACACACACACACACACACACACACAAAAGAAAAAAGAGAGGAAAAAGTGGACTACAGCAACATTAGAATAAATTAAGATATTATTACTACAAGTAAAGATTACATCATAACCAAAAGAGTGTTTCACATACCCGTATATGTTTTACAATGTAGTCAATAATAACCTTCTTGCGAGAGGTAACTTCTTCCTCTCTATGCAGTCCTGGGTTTAGCCCCTTGGCAATGGTGGCCATCAAGCCACCTTCACAAGTGTTCCAAATAAACTTTGGAATGTAGCAAAGGAAAGCCTGAAAAAAAAAAAAAAACATTAATAATCAAATTATAAAGACGTGTACAGGTACTCCTCGACTTACGACCACCCGGACATACGACGGCCCCAGTCGTACCAATTTTTTTTTAAATTACGTATTTTCGAGTCCCGACGTTAGTGACTGCTCTGTGTACTGACAAAATTTTCGTGTGTAATTCCCTTTAAAATGACTGGTAAGCTTAAAAGTGAGAGTATATATATACAGTATATACAGGTATATATATACAGCTTCTCCCCGACTTACGACGGGTTTAGGGACCCAAATCCAGGTCTTAAGTCGAAATGGTCATAAGTCAAAAATGCTTAAATAATACATAGAAAATCTAAAATGGGTGTCTCTTTTTCTTCTCAGTACCACAAAACCCTCACTTTTAAGCTTGCCAGCCATTTTAAAGTGAATTACAAACGAAAATTTTGTCTGTGTACTAGCGTTGGGACTTGAAAATACGTAATTTGACAAAATTTTGGTACGAGTGAGGCAGGTCGTAAGTGCGGGTGGTCGTAAGTGCGGGTGGTCGTAAGTCGAGTAGGCAATAAGTCGGGGAGGAGCTGTGTGTATATATATGTTTATGTGTGTGTCACAGTCATGGGCTCGTGGGCCTTGGGTTCGAATCCTGGTGGGTTGAGGTGTTGATTATATACTGTATATATATATTTCATTTTTAGTCCATATAACAAGCGCACTTTGAACATATAATCAACGACCTTACCAGCCAGGACTCGAACCCTCGACCTAATGCATGGGACCAGGGAACGTTACCGACCATACCACAAGAGCACTAAAAGCAGTTCAAGACTATGTGATATTTCACACAAAGCCTGTTCATCGAGCTGATGGCGTCGTGAACCTCTCATTGGGAACTGCCCGTGCTGCTTATGTGGATGTCAGTAGCATTTTACTGAAACCAGCTGGTATGAAACATGAGGTACCATATATACTTCATTTTTATTCCATATAACCACTTTCAATTTGGTGCTATTTCACCCATAAAATTTTAGTTCTCTTGGTGTAATTCAAGATTATTTTCTTTAAATCAACACTGCACTGCATTATATATTGTCAATATGTAAAATAAATTTCAAAATGACCAATAATATGCTTGCAAAAACAGAAAAAAAGCATTTAGTTGAAGAGTCTCAAGCAATATGTTACCTCCACTGAAAAGAGAGACTAACGCCTGTTTGTGTGTTAACAGGCTGGATGGCGTGCCAGAAACTAGTTTCTTTACCTTCAATTATGTTCAATAATTGTTAAAATGACTAAAAAATGTTAATATTAAACTTTTAAAATTATTGAATAGTATAAACTTCTTGATATTTACTAAAATATTAAGGAATTTAAGCCCTAAAACCGATTACTGTATTGGCGGACTAATACTACAGCTGGTGGACCGCCAAATGCAAGCGAAAACATGTTGAGGTCGGCTTGTAAAAATCTCGTTAATCGAGGGATTGCTCGTTAACAGAAGTTAAGAATCTTATGGAATCTTATCGTTAACCGATATCTCGTTATCCGAGGCGCTTGTTAACCGAGGGATAACTGTATATATGTGTATATATATATATATATATATATATATATATATATATATATATATATATATATATATATATATATATATATATATATATATATATATATATATATATATATATATATATGTATGTATATATATATATATATATATATATATATATATATATATATATATATATATATATATATATATATATATATATATATATATATATATATATATATATATATATATATATATATATATATATATATATATATATATACACAGCATAGAGAATAATAACTTACCTTTTTATAGTACTGTATAGACTTAAATTCAGAAAAGGAGAGTTTACGGTTGTTCTTTTTGTTCAAATCAGAATGCAACGCCTAGCTTATGCCTAGGTATGTAAATGCCTAGCATTAACTCGCCAGACCAACATACAGGCAATTAAAACATCAAATAATTCCTTAAATACGTAATATTAGGAGAACACGTCACTACCTGGCATTTACAGTGATCCCTCAGTTAACGAATTACCTTCCATAAGATTCTTCACTTCGGTTAACGAGCAATCCCTCGATTAATGAATTCCTTACGAGTGCCCCTCAACATGTTTTCGCTTGCTCACTAGCTGTTGTATTAGTCCGCCAATACAGTAATCAGTTCTAGGGCTTAAATTCCTTACCATTTTAGTAAATATCAAGAAGGTTGTACTATTCAATCATTTTAAAAGTTTTATATTAAATTTTTTAGTCATTTTAACAATTATTGAACATAACTGAAGTACATGAAACCAGTTTTATGCACGCCAAACAGCAACTCAACACACCAAGCTTGGCGTCAGTTTGTTTACAGGTTCAGAGGAAGGAACATATTGTTTGAGACTCTTCAACAGAAATGCTTTTTTCTGTGTTTCCAGTCAAATTATTGGTCATTTTGAAATATGTTTTACATATTGATAATATATAGTGCAGTGCAGTGTTGATTTAAAGAAAATAATCTTGAATTACACCAAGTGAACTAAAATTTTATGGGTGAAATGGCGGCAAGGGGTGACTTCTCTTCCACCCCAATGCCTTCTCTTCTCCCTTCTCCTCCACCCCCATTCTAATTCCCATCACCATCATCATCAACTAGGAGAGTTCTACATGCACACCTCAAAGTAAGTGTACTTTAGTGCATTTATTTTTCGTTTGTATGTAATTTTCGGTGAGCTGGAACCAATTACCCAAAAACCCACTGAAACAATGGTTTCTGTTAACGAGCAACCTTCTGGAACGAATTGTGCTCGTAAACCGAGGAACCATTGTAATGGCAATTCTCAAAACCCCCTCCCTCACCCTCCATCACAAGCATTACTACCGCGAGTCTCAAAAAGGGCAGACTGTCCTTAAAGGCCAGACCTGGCAAACCTATGTGGCGGCTCCAGTGTGACCACCCTCTCACATCAACTGATCGCTAGTAAACAGACCATTTCATGTCCCATAATTTTAGCTGTGTTGATTTATGAGTGTTTGTTTTAACATAATACTACAAAAAACAATGTTTTGTTTATTCTAGGAGATGGGCTGAGGTGCATCTGGGTAGACTCAAGTCTTTTTAATATTTTGTGTTTCTCTCAAGTACCAAAATCAATTATTCTATTGAAACAACACTTCCATTTAGTGCGAATTCGATTTAAAGTGACTTCTCTTGAACGTATCTTGTGTTATATCAACGTTCTACTGTAGTCTACCCTAGTAAAACTGTTTTCTCTAATACAGGTACAGAGCAAAAGAGTAAAAATTACAATACAGTCATGCGCCGGTTAACGTCCTAGATATGTTCTTGGAAACGTGACGTTAACCGAAATGGACATTATCCGATCATCACATAAACTTTTTATTTATACTTACATGTATGTGGAATACTATATACGGACATATACACTTTCACTCTTAAATCACTACTGTAAGGTGATACAGGTGATTAAGTTTTATCTCTTGTGCAAAATACATGACGTTTATATTAAAATTATTCACTGTTTTACAAGGATTCCAGCAACACCGAGCAGATGGGGGAGAGAGAGGGTGGGAGCGATCAGGGGGCGGGAGGTGAGGTAGTATGTTTGACAGTTGGCACAGGCCCAGGTCTAACTCCTGTATATTTATCAGTTCTTAGGTGACTAAGCTTCTCTCTTATAAAATGTCAGTGAAATGACCTGGGTGAATATAATTAACATAAATGGGATTCTTGTAACATACCGATTAATTTGAATATAAACATGCTATAATTTGCACGACAAAACAATTTTAGTACCATAATCAAATTAGTACATGTGCACTCCAGCTTTGCACTAAGGTCATTTATTTCTATTAGGTTTCTTTTAATATGGTGTGTCCATGTAAATGGATGAAAATAAATGAAGAAATCTATGTAACTCTACCCAAAAATACAGTTGAAAAACTTTTTTATAAAATGTAGCCTACTACAGTACTGTACACTAATGTACAACAATTTTTATCTCGAGCAAAATATATGACGTTTATATTCAAATTATTGGCTGTCTTGCAAGGATTCCAGCAATGTAAATTATAATCTCCTAACTTTAGTCTGAGATATTATATAAGATAAAAACTGTAAGCCTAAAAGCCAGGTTGGGGGGGACTGACGAAGCCAGCCACGCCACCCAGAGAGGGGGGTTGGGGGGTTGAGGTGATAAGTTTGAGGTGAAGGTCTCTGTGTGTTTATTTAACAGTCCTACTAAGCTTCTCTCATTTTAAAATACCAGTGATATGACCTAGGAGAATATAATTAACATAGCTGGGATCCTTGTAAGACACTGATTTATTTGAATATAAACATGTTGTAATTCGCACTAGACATAACAATTTTAGTACCTAATCAAATTAGTACATGTGCACTCCAGCTTTGCAATAAGGTCATTTATTTCTTTTATGTATCTTTTAGTATGGTGTGTGCATGTAAATGGATGAAAATAAATAAAGAAATTTATGTAAATCTACCCAAAAATACAGTTGAAAAACTTTTTATAAAATGTACTACAATATTGCACACTAATGTACTACATTTTTTATATCTTGAGCAAAATATACGACACTTATATTCAAATTAATCTCTGTCTTGCAAGGATTTCAGCAATGCAAATTATATTATCCTAACTTTAGTCTGAGATATTATATAAAATAAACAAAGAAATCACCAATCTTTTATCTTGGAACATGAGGGTGGTAGGAAGTTATTATATGTCTTATTTGTGTCACTTATGTTACTTGTATATTATTTGTAATTCGTAACCCATTCCCCAAATATGTAACTGTAAATTTTCAGCCTTCTGGCTGCCAAGCTCTTTCAATAAACCGTTAATTATTATTATTATTATTATTATTAAGATGGGGGGTGGGGGAACACGGGAGGTGAGGTGACAGAATGTCTGGCAGTTTGTTTGTTTATT